CTCTGTCTCTCTCTGTCTTAAAAATAAATAAAACATTAAAAATAAATTAATTAATTAATTAATTAATTAATTATATATAATTTCAGTGTAAGTTCATTATATAAAGATGACCAAAGCTGTAATTTTCCCATCCATTTCGTAAATGACATATGCTAAAGCTAAAAGTAATTCAAGTGCTAATACTAACATTTGGCTAGTACTTGCTCTTTGTCAAAAATTGTGCTAATCACTTCACATATATTGGCTTATTTCACCATCTCAAGAACCTTCCATGGAAACTACTATTGTTCCCTATTTACAGGTGAGAAAATTGAAGGCCAGAGAAGTTCAGAAACTCCTCTTCAAAATCACAGAGTTAGGATGTGAATGCATAGCACTTACTCTTGTAGATGACCTCACATACGTTCTCTTCTACCCATTGTCTTCTATGTGGCTAAGACAAATCAAGAAGACACTGTAAAGATCAGAAAGGGAGACACCTGTCATTATGAATTGACCAATAAGATCGTATAAGCCAACAGGCAGAAAATGAAAATAATGAAAATAGTATACAGGGAACAGGTTTTCATATTCTGTTTTACTATGAAAAGCTAAAAAGACAATTGCAAAGTATATCCCCTTTTTTAATGGAACTACAATTTTTAATTCTTCTAAAAGTCAGAGAACATAGGGCTGCCCGGGTGGCTCAGTCGGTTAAGTGTCTGACCTCAGCTCAGGTCGTCATCTCATGGTTCATGAGTTCAAGCCCCACGTCGGGCTCTGTGCTGACAGCTCAGAGCCTGGAGCCTGCTTCGGATTCTGTGTCTCCTTCTCTCTCTCTGCCCCTCACCCACTCATTCTGTGTGTGTGTCTCTCTCTCAAGAAAGGAATAAACAGTAAAAAACATTTAAACATCAGGAAGCATATAAAATGGAGATCTGGCCCTGATGTCTAATATGTTATCACTACTGAGTGGTAATAGTTGGCTTATCATTTACAATCGCCTTTTATGAAGAGAGGGTGAAAATAGACATAAAGAGGCATTGGATAATTTGAGCAGGATCTCCTTGCTCCATAAACCCTTTCGGAGTCTATGTGCCTAAGATCAGAAGCGAGCTGGTGAGCCTGGTGAGGCAGTCATCAAGCTGTGGCTACAGAGGTGGAGAGCTGTGATTGAAGCAGGCAGCCTCCCTTGCAGCAGCCCTCACTGTCACAATGCAACGGTTTCAAAGGCAAGCCCTAGTAGGATTCTACTCTGAAAATTTAAGCCCGTCGCCATACCTGAACTAAAGAAAAATTCGTCTACCATTCTGATATTTTGATGATTCATAATTGCTCATCTTGGCCCCTAATCTCTGCCATTTATTGTCTACATATCTTAATTGTCCTGTAATGTGGACAAAATTTGGAATTCTGATTTCAACCTTGGTATCATTGTATAAATATTTATATGTATTTCTCTATATAACGTTTAATAATGATCATTTTAAATTATTTTCAATATCTTAATTAAGGCCCATCCTTAACCACTTCCTTACCGATTGGACATTCAGGCAGCCTCGTCCTCTGGGTTAAAAAAAAAAAAAAAGTAGTGGAGACAAAATGGGGACAGTAATCACCCCTTCACAGAATAGGAATGAAATCTGAGATAACATCTGGGGAAAGTCCATCTTGAAAGCATGGTGTGGCTGGAAGGAGACAGCAACAGGACAGTCTAGATTTGTCCAAAGAACAAGCTGTAGATAGCCCATCATGTCAATAAGTAGTCAGCAGGTGGTTAAGAGATGCCCATTGTATACGTATAATTTCTCTCCGGTATATCCCGTAACTTTTTGGAAACAAAAACATAATGGGAGTTAGTAGTTGATTTTGTTAACCACCTGACTTCATTTGACCTT